TATGAAATTATATGGTATAAGGTTATAATAATGTATTGTGGAGAAATAAAAATATTGACCGATAAGAGTAATGTATAATAAATAAGAATATTGACTAATTTATTGTTAGAGAAATATAAGGTAAGTTATATGATATAATGTTATTGTACAATATTGTTAGAGAAATATAAGGAAAGATAAAAAAAAATGTTAGTATAATAAAAGGGTCCAAACAACTTTTTTAAGTAGATTTATTTTAGACTCCTTCTCTTTTACTTTAGATTAGTCTTATCTACCTTATTTTAGATTACAATCAAAATATCTACCTTATACTTTAGATTAGTCTTATCTTATATTTCTCTAACAGTAAAAAGTAATGTGCAATACATATCAACATTTTGCTTTAGTCTATCTTATATTCTTATTGCTTATTATACATCAATAACAAAAACATTATACCATATAATTAACTTTATATTTCTCTAACAATACCTTAGTCAATATTTTTATTTATTAAACAAAATAATTTTGATACAAAAAAACGTTATACCAAAACTATATCATTTGCTTGAGCCACCTTATTTTTAAAGACAACTATAATATATAGGTCCAAATATTAAAACAAACAAATTTAATACAAATACTTTAGCAACTATATGTAAAACCAAAATTATATTTTAGGTTAAAATATTTTTAAATGAAAGTATTTAAATAATATTTTTAATTTAGTATAAGGTTAAAAACTATTAATATATTTGAAAAATCTATAATATTAAATTAGCCAAAACATACCAAGAAAATTTGAAGTTTCAAGTGCTCAATAAATATGGCTCTTATAAAATGCACCTCAATACCCAATGTTTTTTAAATGAATTTTTACTCGAAACTCGAAAGTAAAAACGGAAACTTTGATCCAAAACTAAAAAAAAAATCATATTATTAAAAACACATTTGAAATACCGTATATATATCAGAAAAACCCGGATATACTTAATACACATAAAACATTTCAAATACTTTAGATACCCGGATGGTTCTCGGGTACAACCTGGAATTGAACAGAGACCACATGTCTGAAGAAAAAAAATCAAATACGTATTTTTTCCTAGATCCGGACCGAAACCACTACTATATTTTCGGGATATAGCAATGTACATACAAACCTTATATAAGCTAATTTATAAACTATATAATTTTAAACAAGTGTTTTTCTTGGATATAATGAATTTGTAANTGGAATTGAACAGAGACCACATGTCTGAAGAAAAAAAATCAAATACGTATTTTTTCCTAGATCCGGACCGAAACCACTACTATATTTTCGGGATATAGCAATGTACATACAAACCTTATATAAGCTAATTTATAAACTATATAATTTTAAACAAGTGTTTTTCTTGGATATAATGAATTTGTAACATAATAATGTCCACTAATTTCAAAATATTAATTCACAAATTTTATTTACAATCAAAGAAAAACCCGCGCTTTTAAGCGCGGGTCAAAATCTAGTGTATTTGTTATAATATCAAGTGATTTCATAAAGGTTTTCTAAGAGTTTAGACTCTAGAGTTGCTTTTTTTAAATAGGAAGGATGTGATATCAAGTTGAATAATAAAAACGGGACAAAGTATGACCTACATGCTTATCATATAAAAGCAACTTGACATACTCTATCTCTATTAATTACGTCCAGATCTTTTTTGTTATATACATATCTAATGCATATATATGGATAAGATTTTGGGTCGTCGGGGACTTGGGTGTGTTTTGTGCTTTTGTCTTCTGCTCCATTTCTATTTGTTCTGTGGCCACCATTTAGATTTTTTTATGCTGTCCTTTTCAAGTTTTATTATTATAAATAATTATCATTGCTGCTTTTATTTTGAGTTTTGTATTAAACAAGTTTTCGTTATCTTATACTATATCAGTTTGAATTTTTCCTTTACCATACGTCGTATTTATTATATGAATATGTGACAGGGGCCAATGAAAAGTATGTTGTATCTGTATGTATTATCGCATATATATATATTGTATTTTTCATTTTCTTTTCATACTTCCTATTAAGATCGTGCTAAGAGTTTTAGTTATGCAACGCTTCCTCTTGCATGTATTACTTTAGTACGTCTATTGTTTATGTTTGTTATATGTTGTTGTTATTAACAGAAAGAGAATGCGAAGATACCAAAATCAGAAAAGAGTACAAGGTGGATGAGTCCAAGAGTGGAGCTTTAATTTGGTAATTGATTGGACTACTAATTCAGAGAAATGTGAATAAATTAAATCCAATGGACCATAGTGTTTATAGTTGGATCCTAATCACGAATATGACAAAGGCCAATTCGATTAATTTAAATCAAAAGTCTCCATCTTTCCCAAACTCCCTGTCTAATAATTGCTTCTAGTTGTCATCATCTCTAAGGATTTTTTCTCTCTCAAAATTGTTAGCTATTTCAAGCCACAATCAAAGCAAAAGAGTTTATATTTGCATGGTAATGAGGTCATGCAAAACTCTGATTCAAAAGAGTTTTTATTTACTGAGAAACAAATTATATCACACTAATTGCTATAATCATGTTAGGAACTATAAGAAGGAGATTGTATATAAATAGTGTCGGCTCTGATGGAAAGAACATCAAGCCTCAGCTTTCAGTAATTTAATCATACAACAAAAGCTAAACCCGAGAGTAATCATCCTTTAATCAAAATTTCAATAATACCATACCTCTGAGTAAGCTGTTATGTCAAATATTCAATCCATCCTTAAAAGATCATCTTCTTTCCCCCTGAAGAAGAGAGTAATCAAACCGGAATTACTAGGTGAAAAAAACAAAATAACTGTTCTTACTTGAGTGAAAAAGTTAATCACCTTTATAATTGTGTTTCTGTATGTGTGTGAGACTGAGAGTTCATCAAATACAAAGAGCACCCACATCTGTTGCATTTGTTTCAACTTCATTCGATGCTCCTCTCCTTAGATTCTTCCTCCCCTTCTTTGACTCCATTGTTTGGCTCCTGTTACATTCAGTCATGAAGAAATACACGTCTTTAGTAAAGTCTTGTGAGTGTTTTTATAGAACTGAATCAAGAAACTTACACTAACAGTTTAACAGAGGATGATCTCCCAGCTGCTGTTCCGCAACAGGACTTGTATTTCTTCTTCGAACCACATGGACATGATTTATTTCTCGGAATCTTCTACAGTTAACACATAAATCAAATATTTTATAGATCAGTTATTCTCATGGTTCAAGCTAGCAAAAAAAACCTTTTCATCGGTCTGTAAGCTGCACTTGGCGAGGATTGTCTCTATGTTACTGCAGCTAGATGACTCCTCCTCATTGGTAGCCTCATTGCTTTCCATTGTACTGTCACTCGCTTCCTTCCGGTTTGTGATCTTCTCTGCTGCAGAAGCAGTTTCTGAATCATTTTCAGTCAAAGACTCCATTCCTTGCTCTGCTATCAGAAACTCTATCGCAGCATCCACATCACCGTTCACTTGTACTAGAACCTAAAAGACAGTGTGATTCCAGATAAGAGAAGACTAATTTATCAGATCTCTTTAAATCACAAATAAACCAAGCATCAGCTTATCACCTGTTCAGCTTTCTCAGCATTATCACAACAACTACCCGACATGACTACTTTGATAGCCCCAGCATCCACATTACATTTATCACTTCTCTGCTTAGACTTGCTCTCAGTGGCTTTCGCTTGTTTAGATGCTGCTGACACTTTAGCATCAGCCTTTCACAAAAGCTGGAATCTATTAGGACAGTGAATTCACACACCATAAACACACTGAGATAAAAGTTTAACGTAAAACCTCTATCACAACAGACCTAGCAGGTCCTCCACAAGCATCTTCCTTGGAACGCAAACTATTATAGTGTTCCCCATCATGGTAAGACCTAAACAAAATGGATTTATTTTTCAAGTACATGTAAATTTAACCATACCCATCATCCATCAAACAGAATCAAGAACTTACAGATGGATCATGCGCGTTCTTGCATCTTCAAAGTTGCGTATATACCAACGCGGTGACAAGCTCTGCAATAAACAGAAGAATCCACAACCTTAAGTAATGATTCTCACACAGCAAATAGAGACAATAAGCATTATTATTATTATTATTATTACCCTGTGGATACATATATTACTACGTGTGACAAGAGAAGCTGCTTGTAACTCCATATTCCCAGCCCAAGTCCCATCATCGTCCATTGTTTTACAGTAATCCTCAAAAGGAACATCGTCTTCAATAAAAGGCTCAAACATTTCACGATTCTTCTGTAAAAAAATTCCATGTCCATATATATACATTATTTACAAGATAGCTTAAAAAGACCGAGAGCTTGTGGTCAAGTGGTAAGGGGAAGGACTTGGGATGTCACCACATTTCTGGTTCGATCCACCATCCACCTGCCATGCGAAACTAAATCACAGATATGAGCTACTATTTTCGGTCCATTTGAATACCCAGGAGAATGTCTATCCATGGGCTACACCTCCCAACGGGGGTTAGGTTTGCGTCTTTAATAGATAGCCTAAGAATCTAGTTGATATGGTGAAATAATGGTGGGACACTTACCACTATGTACTGTACAACCATGCTACGGTACTTGCTGTGTTCGTCCTCGTTTCCTTCTAATTGATCCGCAAGTGACCTGTGAAGACGAAACCAATCTACAATTTGCTTCTGTCTTCAAACATATCGAAGAAACTATGAATATGAAAGACAGACCTGAAGAAGCAGTTACCATCCGCAGTGACTTGGATGATCTTAAGCCCTAAGGAGTCAAGCTGAGCACGGAACTGAGAGAGATCACCATCCTTTCCTTCCTTCTTCTTCTTCTCCACCTATGAATCAACAAAACCATAGAATCATTAACAGCAGCAACAAGAGGAATCTAATAGATCGTGAGAGACGCACCTGACGCGGTTGTTTCTTAGGCTTAGATGCTTTTTGTTGCTTAGCTTTTGCCATTTTTTTTCTGTCTCAGTCGGATAGTTGCGGCGACGTAATGTCACTTAACATTTCTTGGCCGTCGAACAAAACCATACTTGGGACAGAAGAGTTCATGACAAAATGGTCCATTGGCCCATTAAGCTATTAAAACTTAGCTCGGCCCTTTTAAAAATAGTATTATGGAGATTTATACTAGAGGCATTATACATTTTTTTCTTTCTTTTTTTTTTTTTTTGATTCAAGGCATTATACATTTTCATCATGTACCATCTAATCCAATGGTGTTAGAACACCTTCATTCATAAGAATCTTAATTTCAATATTTCTCAACTAAATTATATTATTGTTTTACTATAAAGACATAATATAATTAAGTAGTGTAATTTTTTTCTTTTATAAAAATTAAATTATTTACATGTATGTAGATATTTGATGAATATCTTAAAAGTTAGATTTTTAATTTATTGACATCATCTTTGAATCAAAATATTCAAATGAACTATTATCATTGGTCGTGTTCTTGAATTTTAAAATTAAATCTAATATTCACATATATATATATAAACTTATTATGTTGTATATTTATGTTTGTAATCGTCGAACTGTTTTTGACAACAGTTAACTATGTGTTAATACACATACAACTATCACTCTTGGTTTTTGACATCGATAGAATATCACAAAAAGTGTTACTGATACAATTATGCTAACTTAAGATTTATAGTCATATACAATATAACACTAAAAGAACGAGTAAAGATAACAAAAATAAACACAATTTGTTTGTGTCGTTTTAACATCCTTAGTTTGATATTTCTATCAATTTGCGACCATGTGTACAAATCATGTACACTACCCCATCAAAACTATGTGTACTAAAAGAGAGTAAACAAGCATTTTACAAGACTTTCGAGAGCAAGTTCTTTGTTAAAGCTTGATGACTTGCTTGTCCATGCTCTAAACTACATGTGGCACACTCTCACTTTGGACCAATAGTTAAAGGTATATATTAGTTTCAAACTTCTTTACTATGAAATGATGTTGTTTTGAATGTTCAATTGAAAGTTACAAAAGTTTGTAACCGATAGAAAAATCATCAAGAGAAGAGGGACCATTGAGAAATTACAAGTAGGTCTGGAAACGGACTCGTGTGTATTAAAGTGCTACTAAGACAATTAAACTAATCTAAATTCTATAATGAATGAAGAACATGACAAAAATTAAATAAAACTAGTAAAGTAAACGCAACATGTTTGTAGCATATGCTTTGAACATCTTTGGTTTAATAATTTTATTTGCGACCATGTGTACAAACATGTGCATAGATTCAGAAAATGATCCCATCAAAAGGAAGAAAAAAAAAGAAGAAAATAGTAAGCTATGGAAGATTTGGTAGTGAAATCAACCAGCATTGTGCATCCCAGAAACATTGTTAACCAATCATCAGATCGTGTGAAGAAGATCAATCTGACTCCATGGGATCTCTTGCGTCTTCCTTTTGGTTATCCTCAAAGAGGACTCTTCTTTCACAAACCTGACGATTTAGATATTGATACAATCATCTCAAAGCTAAAAACTTCACTTTCTATTGCTCTCCATCACTTTTACCCTTTGGCTGGCCACCTTGTCAAAGAAGTCAACGAAGAGGAACACACTGTCTCCTATTTCATCAGCTGCTGCGATGATGGTTCCGGTTCGGGAGGTGTAAAGTTCATTCATGCTGCAGCTAAAACACTAGCGATTAGTGATCTGGTTAAGTCCGGTTTTGTCGATGGAATGCTTGGTTCTTTCTTCTTCCCTGCCACTGGAATCAAGAACTATCAAGGTGTGTCAAACCCTTTACTTATGGTCCAAGTAACTGGATTAAAAGATGGGATTTTCATCAGTTATGGCTATAATAGTACCGTTGCTGATGGCAAATCGATCTGGAAGTTCATCAATGCATGGTCAGAGATTTGCTTCAAAGGTTCTGGATCTGTGCCAATGGACTGTTTCCTCAAAGGTTGGTTTCTTGATTGTATTAGATATCCAATCCGAGTACCAGATCCTGAGACAGAACAGCCCAGTAACGTTGCTTCAACAACATCAAACATGATACAAGAGTTTGTGTTTCGTCTTACAAAGGAAAATGTGTTAAAACTGAAAGCTAAAGCTAACGATGAAGCTGTGTCTAAAGAAGATGGAGAGATCTCTTCGTTTCAAGCGGTTTTAGGACATATTTGGCGGTCAAGGGTCAAACACGGTGACATGAGCCGAGAAGAAGAGACGCATTGTAGGGTACCAATAGACATGAGACAGAGGCTAAAGCCAAAGCTAAAAGAAGACTGTTTCGGGAACTTGGTTCATACCGGAACAGTAACCTTTAAAGTTGGGGATATGCTGGAACATGGTTTAGGCTGGTTGGCTCAGAGAATAAACACAATGGTTAGGTCACAAACCGATGATAATATTAAAGCATTTGGAGAGAAATGGGTAAAGAATGGTGAGATTCCGGTTTCGGTTTGTGCCACTCTGCTTGTTAGTAGCTGTCCCCGGTTTAATGTGTATGGAAACGATTTTGGGTGGGGTAAACCGATCGGTTTACGTTCTGGACCGCCACATAGCAATGGGAAACTAGTAGTTATTCAAGGGGTGGAAGAAGGAGGTCTTGAATTTCAAGCTTGTTTTCCTTCTCAAGTAGTTGTAAAGCTATTGGGTGATGGTGAGTTTCTGGAGTATGTGGACGTTGCTTCATGATTTTGGTCAATGACGATTGATGTGTGTGTTTTTTCTTGCAGTTTTCTACTGTCTATGTAAGTTTATGAAAACAAATATTTTTCTATGTTTTAACGTTTTTATTCAATAAGCATATCAAGCAAATATCATATTGTTGACCAAGCCAATGGCAGCTAACAGAGTTGATAAGTTTTGTCAGTATAAACACTTGAAAACTTATGAAAACAATGATCTTGATTCTTGAAACAGTTATCAAATTAAGCAATGTTGTTTATCATATCTTTATACATATGTTTAGTATATGTATGTATCTTTCTACATATGTTTAGTATATGTATGTATCTTTCTACAAATACAGACTATTCTCTGATAATTTTGAAAGCTGGTGGAACATAATCAGTCTCAGATAGATCCAACTACCATGTGATTCCCCCATAAACAGTAGAAACAAAACAATTTAAAACCACCGACAAAATAAATTATAATTACCAAAATGTTGAATACATATAGATATCACTCGAATAATAAAAAAACGCGGGCTTAATTTAATTTAAACAAACGTAACTAGTCACGGTTTTACTACAAAACACATCGAAATCGAACATAACAATACAAACAAATTCCGTAAGTGAAATTACGAAATTGGCCACGGTTTCTTTCTATCTCCTGCATCGAGTGATGGACGAGCAGCCTCGACTGTAAGGATGCACTGGACCTCTAGCTCTGAAGCAGTTGTGAGTGTAGTAAGATCTTCCAGATCTGGGAGGACACGGCACTCTATTCGCCGACAATGCACCGTAAGAGATGTAGTATCTCTTCCTCTTCCAGTACAACGACCGTCGATCTACGACATCTTCCTCAGCATCTTCAAAGCTTTCTTCTCCGTTGAAGTCTAATGCGTCGCCGTGAGAGATCGACCAGTGGAATCCATCGCCTAGGAGAATGATGGATGGATTCTCGGGGAGAGATTCAGATCTCGGGAGTGAAATGAAGAGAAGAGAGAGAGTGATGATGAGGAGAGTAAGAGAAGGAGCTGCTGCCATGGTGATGCCTGGAGACGAAAACGAAGATGAAGAAGAAAAATAATACTAATAGAAGAGAGTAGTAATTAGCAAGTAGCAAGTCACATGTGAAGAGAGGTGATTGGGTTTTGATTAATGCGCCATTTATGGACCTCGAGGTTCGTGAGGGTTTTATGGGTGTCGGGAAATTAGATTAAGAGGTGTGAGATTAGTTGTGAACCGTTGGATTGTCGTTCTGATTTAATGAGTGATTAATGGGTTGGGCTTTCTTTATGATTTACAAGGTAGAACATTTTGTAAGCTATTCCACGGTATAATGGGCTTTGCTATAGCTGAGGCTGTTATGAATACTTTGTTTTGGACTAATCTAATTTGTAACATATATATAGCATGTAAAAAGATAGTGTTGACCCAGAAAAGCTTGTGAAAATAGTAATCATCACAAGAATGAGGTAAGACCATGATCAATCCACTAGTCAATCAATCCATTTATTTATTCTTGTGAGATAAGGCCATTGATCAATCCACTAGTCAATCAATCGATTAATTTAATTATCCCGAAGTTAATGAAGGATCTCTGATTCTCCTTGTAAGGGCGGGAATATTTTAGAACGAGTGCGCGGATAAACGGATCATCTATACTATTAAAGCTGAAGTACAAAAATTTATGTGTTTGGAAACATGAATAGGAAATATTTAAAATTATGATGATTGGAAACAAGGATAGCCTACAAATCTAATAGGCTTATTTATTAAACTAAAAATTATTGTGGCCCAATGTACTATTATTATTGTTTTTAGGTTTTCTATCATTGATATTACTTTACTTTTGAAAATTATTTATACATATATGTATTCATGTTTTAAATGTATTTAGAAAAAATCAAGAATAATATAAATTTTATTTATATAATTTATATTGACTATTGTTATAAGTTTTTAACAGTGATATACTACCCTTCCAATTTTTCATTAAAAAATTAACTTAAAAATTTGACTAAATTATTTAGTGTATATAACTTTGCACCAAATTTAGTCAAAAAAAACTTTATAAACTATTACTAAAATGTTTACGGGTCACAACATTTTACGGCGCCCATGTTATACAATACAGTGATAAAATACAATGTTTAAACAATAGACTATTACTTAGTAAAATTGGAACCATTAAATTATAATTTTCAAATGTTATATATACCATAAAAACAAAGACCCGCCCAGTAGGGCGGGTTATGATCTAGTGATCTATTAAACCTGTAAACATATGTTCAAATTATAAAAGGATACGTCTAATAATAGGTAGTTAATATAGCATTAACTAGATAAGGTCCAGCTTAAAAATCTACATAGAAAAAGTCATAATGTTTATGTTTTAATAAGATAAAAACTATCAAAGAATCTATGTTTTGAAATTTTTAAAAATTTATAGGGATTAACCCATGACCAATTTGTTGGATTTTGACTATATCTTCAGGAGAGGACGAAACTTTTCAAAACTAATGTTAAGCAATTTCAACACTAGAATTTGATTAATGAATCTTTAAATAAGTATATTAGAAAGTAATACATTTTTTTTTGAAATTTTAAAAATGCATAGGGTTTGTTAGTCCACGACTTCAAAAATTTGGTGGATTTTTTTATTCTTAGAAGACAACAAAAAATTTTCAAAAACGACTGTAAAGCAGTTTTAACATTATAGTTTGGTTAATGGATTTTTTTTGAAAATTTCAAAATACATTTTTTTGAAATTTTCAAAAATTCATAGGAAGTCCACGACCTCGACAAAATTTGGTGGATTTTGACGTTATCCTCTAGAGATGACGAAACATTTTTTAAAACGATTTTAAGCAGTTACAACATTATAATTTGGTTTGTGGGTCTTTAAATAAGTATAATAGCAAGGAATACATTTTTTGAAATTTTCAAAAATTCATTGGGGTTAGTCCACGATCTTAAAAATTTAGTGGATTTTGAAGTTTTTCTTAAGAGACGTTAAAATAATTTCAAAACGATTGTTAAGCAGTTTCAACACTATAATACGGTTAATGAGTCTTTAAATAAATATACTACTAAGGAATGCATGTTTTGAAATTTCCAAAATTTCATAGGGGTTAACAGACAACCTCGAACAATATGGTGGATTTTGACTAGGACCTTAGGAGACAACGAAATATTTTCTAAACGATTGTTAAGCGTTTCAACACTATAATTTGTTTCATGGGTCTTTAAATAAGTATACTAGAAATTCATACATTTTTTGAAATTTTCAAATGTTCATTGGGGTTAGCCCACAACCTCGAGAATTATGGTGGATTTTGACTATGACTTTAGGAGACGACAAAACATTTTCAAAACGATTGTTAAACAGTTTCAAAACTACCATTTGATTAATGAGTCTTTAAATAAGTATACCAGAAAATAATAAATTTTCTGAAACTTTCAAAAATTAATAGGGGTTATAGCACACGACATTGAAAAATTTGGTGAATTTTGACGTTTTCCTCTGGAGACGATAAAATATTTTCAAAATGATTGTTAAGCAGTTTAACACTATAATATGGTTAATGAGTCTTTAAATAAGTATAGTAGCAAGTAATAAATATTTTGAATTTTTCAAAAATTAATAGGGGTTAGCACACAACCTCGAAAACATGGTGGATTTTGACTATATCCTTAGGAGACAGAAGAAACCTTTTCAAAACGATTGTTAAGTAGTTTTGACACTATAATTTGGTTAATGGGTCTTTAGATTAGTATACTAGCAAGTAATACATTTTTTTTTTTAAATTTTCAAATATTTATAGGGAGACGATGAAACACTTTGTGGATTTTAACGTTATTTTTAGGAGACAATGAAACATTTTCAAAACGATTACTAAGCAGTTTCAATATTATAATTTTGTTAATGGGTATTTAGATAAGTATACTAGAAAGTAATACATCTTTTTGAAATTTTTAAAAGTTCATAGGGATTTGTCCACGATGTCCAAAAATTGGTGGATTTTGACGTTATTCCATTAAAATGGATAATGGGTCTTTAAATAAATATACTATCAAGGAATATATGTTTTGAAATCTTCAAAAATTCATAGGGATTAACCCATGACCAATTTGGTGGATTATGACTATATCCTTAGGAGACGACGAAACTTTTCAAAACGATTGTTAAGCAGTTTCAACAGTATAATTTGTTTAATGAGTCTTTAAATAAGTATAGTAGAAAGTAATATATTTTTTTTTGAATTTTTCAAAAATTCATTGGGGTTAGCCCACGACCTCGAGAATTATGGTTAGAACACATAATTCAAGAAAAAATATAAAAAATGGAATTTTTGTTTTAATGCATAGCTGCATCATACAACGACATAGTATGAATATTAAATAGGTTTGAGACTTTAAATGTTTCTATTTCTCCAGAAAATAGGATTTTTATTGGGGTTAATCGACATATTATGTGATATATGAATGTTAAATAAATTAATCATTGAAAAATTAAAAATGATGTCCATGTACCATACAGATATGTTTAGAAAACATATATAAAATTTGGAGTGCGTTTAGGTATTTTTTAAACAACACGAAAGATGGTAAATAGTATATATAGTATTTAATGGAAAATTCAGCTTTTTCATAGAGGTATCCCACATAATTCAAGAAAAATTATAAAAAATGGAATTTTTGTTTTAATGCATAGCTGCATCATACACCGACATAATATGAATAATAAATAGGTTTGAGACCTTAAATGTTTCTATTTCTCCAGAAAATAGGATTTTTATTGGGGTTAATCGACATATTAAGTGATAAATGAATGTTAAATAAATTAATCATTGGAAAATTAGACATGATGCCCATGTACACTAAAGATATGTTTAGAAAACATATATAAAATTTAGAGTGCGTTTAGTTTTTTTTTAAACAACATGAAAGATGGTAAATAGTTCATATAGTATTTAACGGGAAATTCAACTTTTTTCATAGGGGTTAGCCCACATATTTCAAGAAAAAATATAAAAATAATTTTTTTTTATTTTAATGCATAGCTGCATCATACACCGACATAGTATGAATATTAAATAGGTTTGAGACCTTAAATGTATATATTTATCTAGAACATAGGATTTTTATTGGGGTTAATCGACATATTAAGTGATATATTAATGTTAAATAAATTAATCATTGGAAAATTAAAAATGATGCCCAAGTACCATAAAGATATGTTTAGCAAACATATATAAAATTTGGAGTGCGTTTAGGTATTTTTTCAACAACAAGAAAGATGGTAAATTGTATATATAGTATTTAACGGAAATTTCAGTTTTTTCATAGGGGTTAGCCCACACATTCGAATAAAAATTATAAAAAATGGAATTTTATTTTAATGCATAGGTGCATCATACACCNAACATATATAAAATTTGGAGTGCGTTTAGGTATTTTTTCAACAACAAGAAAGATGGTAAATTGTATATATAGTATTTAACGGAAATTTCAGTTTTTTCATAGGGGTTAGCCCACACATTCGAATAAAAATTATAAAAAATGGAATTTTATTTTAATGCATAGGTGCATCATACACCAACATAGTATAAATATTAAATAGTTTTAAGACCTTAAATGTTTCCGTTTCTCCAGAAATTAGGATTTTTATTGGGGTTAATCCACATATTAAGTGATATATGAATGTTAAATAAATTAATCATTGGAAAATTAGACATGATGACCATGTACCATAAAGATATGTTTAGCAAACATATATAAAATTTGAATGTTAAATAAATTAATCATTGAAAAATTAAAAATGAATATTAAATAGGTTTGAGACCTTAAATGTTTCTGTTTCTCCAGAAATTATGATTTTTGTTGGGGTTAATCCACATATTAAGTGATATATGAATGTTAAAGAAATTAATCATTGGAAAATTAGAAATGATGCCAATGCACCATAAAGATAAGCTAAGCAAACATATATAAAAGTTTGAAGTACGTTTAGGTTTGAGACTTTAAATGTTTCTATTTCTCCAGAAAATAGGATTTTTATTGGAGTTAATCGACATATTAAGTGATATATGAATGTTAAATAAATTAATCATTGGAAAATTAGACATGATGGCCATGTACCATAAAGATATGTTTAGCAAACATA